GCATGCATACAAGTATAGACTAAGTTGCGAGACTTGAAGCAAATCAATTCATGTTTGTTTTCGAAAATGGTTTGAAAATGCCACCCTTAAGTGGGCTAAAACGCGGATTTGCCACTCCCAAGTGGGCTTAAAACATGATTTGCCACTTCGCAAATTGGGCTTAAAACTCACATTTATCGAATTGTTCCAATTCAAGCAATTAAGTCTTCATCCACAGGCATTCATGCAGTTAATCACTTAAGTACATAGCCTCATGGCAAGCATGCTATCATGGCAACACTCACACTCATGCAAGTATGATAAAGCGTAAAACATACAGTGTACTCCAAGCCAAAACAAATGCTAGTTAGAAATCATGCATGATCCTAACTATACAAGATGCCTAATACAACACACGCAATGCGAATAATAGGCTCGGCTACCTAAGACGGCATATGAATGCAACAATTTGATACACGTATTCAAATAAGTATTAAATATAATGCAGTTTGAATGATGCGCCGAGCTCGGTGTATGCAAGATAAATGAATGATGCACGCATGCGAGCATAAGGTATGCTAATTGAAAATGTCCCTAATCTCACCATTGAAAGTAGTTAAATAAAAGGGAGAAAGACGTGGGGTTGGAAGACATGCACACACACACACCCACGCACGCTTATTACAACATTGCGCCCTCACGAAGGAGGGTCTGAATAAATAAGAGCTAAGCTACACTAAGCTAAGCTAATTATTACAAAACAACTAATTAACTATTCTAGCTAATTAATTACAATACAATTGAATAACTAGCTACATTAAGCTAATTAAAATATTACAAAACAAATTGAACTAATTAATTACAACACATGTAATGATTAGCTACAACTAGCTAATAAAGCAATAAAGTGGCCTCACGGGCGAGGGAGACATGCATGCTCGTTCGGCTTTCTCCTGAAAATCCATCGCCTTGCCATCGGCTACCTCTGTTTACACTAATCTTGATCTCTGAAAACTGAACCAACTTCCAGACTGCCTCTATTTCAAAATAGGAACATTCTTGTACAAAAATGGACTGGTGGCCAGTCAGCCACAGAAGGTGGCTGTCGGCCACCTAAACTGGTCTGTCGGCCAGTATAAGTGGCCAGTCGGCTACTTCATATGGCCGGTCGGCCACTGCCTTTTCCAGACTTTTGTTTTTGCTGCAACAAAGAGCAACGGAGGCAAAGCAATGTATTTTACAAGAAATGTGTGTACTGCCACCTCCTTATCATTAATTTCTCAAGCTCAAAGGAGTATGACACTTGGCTCTCAAGCCACAAATCAAGCATTTTCATGCATGATGGCCAAAAAACCAAGCTTGTATAAGCTCAATGAATGCACAAATAAGACTCAAAGGGCCACCACCCTATCATGCATGATCAAGGGTGATGACGACCAAGAAATGTGACGCGTTTCATCACTTTGAGTATGAAACGTCCTACATTTTTTGTGTTTGGATTAACGTCCGATCCAAACACATGCAATGCAAACAAAACAAGCTTATCTTGGTCATGTTTTACTTGCTTCAATTTTGTTTACTCATTTTAGCATTACCAAGTCATTCTTTAATTGGTTAAGTCCAAGATGAGTGTCCTCTAATGAGAGATGGGTCAACCAAAGGATGGTTTAAGACATGAGAGAGATCATGCCTTTGGCTAGAAGGAACCCTCAGAAGAGAATTAAAGCCATTGAGCACAAGCTCTATCTCAAGCTTAAACACAATCATAAGGTTAACCAACCCTCAAAACGAATGGAAAAATGAAGAAATGAAGGAGGTTGTAGACTTTTTAGTGCTGAAATGGCATGCAAAAGACACTAAATCATGCAAGCAACACATACACAACATGTTAAAAGCCAAAAGTATCAAAACTAGTGAAGAGCACTACGCTAGAGGCATGCAATATTAAGCTTAAATGACCAAACCAGCTCTGGACAGAGCTAAACATGCCAAATCAGTAGCCAAAACATGCTAGGATTAAAACATAAGAGGCAAGAAAAACATGCGCACATGATAGCTCGCAAACAAGGCTCAAAACACAACTCTCAAAAGCAATGAAAGAGTGAAATAAGTGAGAGTGTGACAAAGATATATGCGCTAATTACATGCAAAATGATGCTATAACATGCAAACAACTCATGCAAGACATGCTAGAGGCCTTAAAACACAAAGCTAGTGAAGCCATTTACACTATAACTATACAAAACATGGCTCATATGATCAAAGCAACTCAAAACAGAGCTAAATCATGTCAAATCAGTAGCTAAAACATGCTTGAATTAAGCTACAAAAGGATAGAAAAACATGCTCACATGTTAGGCCATCAACACTTGCAAACAAGACACAAGGTGGGGAGGCCACCCTCTCCTATTTTGGACCTCAAAACCAAGTTTTTGCCACTGAAATTTTCCTGGAATTCAGTGGTTAAAAGGGCAAAAAAGGTTGTTTTGAAAGCTTTGAAACATGGCACAACACTTAGCAAACAAGCTACAAAAGAGGGTGGACCACCCTTAACTCCAAAACAAACTTCAAACCATTATTTTAACCATAAAAACAGAGTTTTTTAGAAGTTAAAACCAGTCTAAAACTAGCATGCAAAGGTGGCCAAACAAGCAACTAAAACAAAGCTTTAAAGTGGTAAGCTTAATACCCTTGAAGCATAGCAACAAACAGCACAATTTCTGAGGTCAAAGCACTCTTAGAAGCTCAAGCAAGGCCTCAAAGAACCTCAGCTCCAAGGTGAAGGTGTTTGATCAAGGGTCTTAGTGCAAATGTGTAGAGAAAACTCACTTTCAAGCACAAAATATATATATATATATAGAGAGAGAGAGAGAGAGAGAAAATTCTAGAGAGAGAGGGAGAAATTTTGCTCACAAAATTTTGTAACCCCTTAAATGGGGAAGGGACCTCCCCTTATATAGAAATGCGAGCCAAAGCTTGCTTCCACGTGTATGGAGGATGTATTCAGTGATCAACAGCTGGCACAGCTGGCAAAGAAAATATCTGAAAAAAGAAAAAAATGGCCGTCGGCCACTTTAGGTGGCCGGTTGGCCACCTCCCTTAGCCAACCGACCATTTCAAGTGGTCGACAAGTGCCAAAAGTGGCCAACAAGGCCTTTTCCCACTCCAGGCAAGAGGCACCAAGGTTTGGTCTAAAAACAAGCACAAAACAAAGAGGTTTAGAGGTCCAAAGACAAGGCGTTCCGCCGAGAACTTTGGGTACTCAAAACGAGCACAAACATGTATAATCATCGAGTACACAAACGATGACGTCTGAGTCTTAAAGTCGGTCAAAAATGGGGTGTCTACAGCAAGTTGGCTGGGTGAAAAATGAAAGTCCTGTCTATGGCAAGAAAAACTACCTTGATTCAATTTGTGACCACAGCTATTCCCACATACCCCATGCAAACTGTGGCAATCCCTACGAGGGTTTGCAATGAAATTGATCGCATCAAGCAAAACTTCCTCTGGAAGGACATTGTGGACAAGAAAAAGATTCATCTTGTGAAATGGGATCAGGTGTATAAAAGTAAAAAGTTTGGAGGGCTGGGAATCAAAAAAGCTTGTGAGCAAAACATTGCCCTACTCTCCAAACTTGGTTAGAAAATCCTCAATAATGAGAATAGATTGTGGATTAAGGTTCTCAAGGCCAAATACCTAAAGAACTCCAGTATTTGCAACTGGAAGAAAAGAAAAAAAGCTTCTCATGTGTGGAAAAGCATAACTAAAACCAGGAACATCTTGATTAAAGTTGTCAAATGGTCCATTGGTGTTAATTCTAATGTCAATCTTTGGAATGACTGGCGGTGTGGTGCTAAACCTTTGGCAGATCTCATTCCTCAATTACATGTTGACTCAGATTTGATTAAGGTGACTTCTCTTCTTAATGAGGAAGGTGACTAGGATGTGAACATTGTTAACCACAGCTTCCCAACCAATGTGGCTGAAATTATTTTTAAAGAAAAAACCCCCTCTTTATAATCCAAATCCTGATTAGCCATATCCGAAAGGATCCCTGGATAGTTGTTTCTCAACATCTAGTGCCTATAACTTGTTTATGGAACATGATGAGCAAAGAAAAAACTGGCAGTGGCTCTGGAAATGCAGACTTCCTTAGATCAACATCTAGTGCCTATACACGATTAAAATCCCTCAATTCTCACACTCTCTCTCTTATCCCTAACCCCCTCTCTCTCTAGCTACAAACTCTCTCTCTCTCTCTCTCTACAAATGATGATATTATGACCTCCGCCGCCGTGGTGGAAGACCTTAGGGTCTCCTTGGCCAGCACAGATGAGCGTTTGGAGCAAGCTAGAGCTCAAGAGGTCGATCTAAGTCGCCGTTTAGGGTTTCGGTCACCGGAGTACATAGAAAATAAGTTCGGTCAACCTATTCATCGGATTTGTAACCTCCATCGAACTCCGCCCATTGTCGTGTTGCCATCTCCACGTTGTGTCCATGGCATCTTGTTTAATATCGATGACCTCGATGACCTCTCACTCTTCTGCAAAGCCACCGTCATGTCTCCGTCGCACTGATTTACAACATCAAACACAAGGCCTACAAAAGCAGATCCGGTGACTACGAATTCGGATGAGAGATGAAGAAGATCATGCTTGCCATTGCCGATGGAACTGCCACTAGTCGCCATATTCTCCATATTTGTTGCCGCCTCCACCTTCTTGGATATCTGTTTTCAGGTTTGTTCCATCTCGGACTGAAGTTCAGAAAGCCATATCTAATCTTCAAAGGTAAAATCATTGAGAAATTCAGCCATATTTGTTGTCCTTTATGTGTGTGTGTGTGTGTATGTTTGTGTTTGTGGATGTATGTATATGCATACATACGTGAGGGTTTTGATTTTTATTTTGATGTAAGTTTGTTTTCTTTTTGATTAATTGTTTCTTTGTTGCTAAATTGTTTTTGATTTTGAGAAATTTTTGTGTTGTGAGTGAGCAATGTGAATTGTGTATATGTAATAGATAACAGAGAAACCGAAGAGATGATACAGAAGAGGCGATACCGAAAAGGCAAATGAGTGCGAAGAAGTAGAAGAACAATGGCTATGAATGTTAATCCAATCAGTGTTCTTGAAGCACCATTCCCATTTTTGTATATGTTGTTTGTGATTGTAATTTGTGTATTACAAGAGAGAGAAAGAGACAGATACAGAGAGAGAGAGAGAGAGAGCGGTGGCTGTGAATGTTTGAACAGATAAGAAAAAAATTGGTTGTGAATGTTTGAACAAATAAGAAAAAAAAAAAATTTAACCGATAAATAAGTTGACTAGGATAGATTATACCATGATCTGTTCATTCTAAAAATTGAATAGATAAAAATAGATTTCAACTGGCTCAAGAATTTCAATAGATAGGAAAAATTAGAGAGAAACTCACAGAATTTGGACAGATAGGGTAAAAAAATTGGACATATAAGAAGAAAAGAATGAACAGATAGAAAATAATTTAAATAGATAGATATAAATTTGAACAGATAATCAATGAAAAGTCACTAGATTAAAAAAGTCAAATAGGGGTAAAATTAGAAACAAAATTTATTCCAAAACTAAAAGGATTTCTCACCAAATTATTTCACAAAATGTGAATTTCTCACAAAAATTATTCACTGAACTTATATCATTTTTAATTTGGATTTTTTAACAATTTTCTGTAAAGAATAAGAATGAAGTGGAGACAATTATAGCAATTTCTACTTTTACCAAAAAGAAAAAAAAAAATTTATACTCTTCTCTGTTCATTTATATTTAATACGGAACCTCCTGTGAATTGTTATTTTATAACAAGTTAATAATCAAACAATAACATGTGATTGATTTCAATTTTTTAATTAAGAAAATGGAAGGAAAAATCACATAAGATCATAATATGCGAGATGACCCCAATACCAATTCTCCCAATCCTGATCGAAACGATTACATGACTAAACTTATCACAATATGATCATAATATAGGAAATCATGGTAGGATCCTGATTCAATTACAAGTTGACCATAATAGTCTTGTTAATTATGCAAGTCTCATAGCAACTTAAAACAATTCTTTTTTTTTTTTTATCAGTAAAAATTTCTATTAAGATAAGTCAAACAACACTTACAGAAGAGTTTATTCAACAAAACAAAAAATAAAAATCAACCAACATTCATCAAGGAGAAAATTATGAAAATATCCAAATGCAAAAACTCGTACTGCGAAACAAACGCCGATCATAAGAGTTCGATAATAGAGCAAACTTGGGATAAAATCATATGTTACAATCATAGAGAGAGTAAGGTACAAAATTTTGTTTGCTCAAAATTTTCACATGTTCATGTTGGAAAACTTAGAAGTGAATGAAATTGGATTCCATTCGAATGAAGGTGTAATCTCACAAGGTGTCTCTTCATATAAAAATGTGTCACCCTAGGGTCATAACCTTTATGAATGGTCACAAATACTTTTATAAATACCATTCTCATGGCATTCATTGGTTAAGAAATTTTAAGATTCATAATTATGTCTAGTCAAATATATAAAAGAGAGTACATGACACAAATTAGTTCACTGAACACATAAAAAATTGTGTAATTTTTTGCGTGTGGTGATCATTGTATCTTGAAAACAAGACGTTCATCAATCGCACCAAAGCAACTAAAAACAATTTTTTTTTTTTTTTTTTATCAATAGAAATTTCTATTAAGATAAGTCAAACAATACTTACAGAAGAGTTTATTCAACAAAACAAAAAATAAAAATCAACCAACATCCATCAAGGAGAAAATTATGAAAATATCCAAATTCAAAAACTTGTACTGCGAAACAAATGCCGATCATAAGAGTTCGATAATAGAGCAATCTTGGGATAAAATCATATGTTACAATCATAGAGAGAGTAAGCTACAAAATTTTGTTTGCGAAAATTTAGAAGTGAATGAAATTGGATTCCATTCGAATGAAGGGTGTAATCTTACAACCATTATGAATGGTCACAAATACTTTGATAAATACCATTCCCATGGCATTCATTTGTTAAGAAATTTTAAGATTCATAATTATGTCTAGTCAAATATATAAAAGAGAGTACATGACACAAATTGGTTCACTGAACACATAAAAACTTGTGCAATTTTTTGTGTGTGGTGATCATTGTATCTTTGAAAACAAGACGTCCATCAATCGCAAGTACCATAGGCGAGGGTGAATTTCTGCCTTAAAGACATAATATTCAAACATTGATCTCGATCATAATCTACACTAAGTTTACAGAATTTCTTATATTTTATTTTATTATTTATTTACATTAAATTAATTTTTCTGAAATTATTTTCCTACCGTTCATGGGACTAAATTGGCTCCAATATGAGAGACAAGCTTCACTATTTTTTTACGTGGCTGACACTTGGCCATCAATGGTTTAGCCTTGGGTGCGATGAACCCACCACTCACTTCGCTCATATCAACCATTTCCTTGCTAACCCTTCTCCAATCAAAGCATTGAATCAGGGAGCCCAATCCCAGCCCAACGATGCGCAAGCCCAACCCCTCCCCAGGACACCCCCTCCTACCAGACCCAAAGGGCATCAACTTGAATCCATCTCCAAACCCATCTAGCCCTTGAAATCTTTCAGGCTTGAACTTGCTGGGCTCCATCCAAATGTTGGGATCATTTTGTATGGCCCACATGTTCACCAGTAACATCGTGCCACGTGGGATGAGAAAACCTTGTACGGTGCAATCTGCCGATGATTCATGCGGTAAGAGTAAAGGGACTATTGGATGTATTCGCAATGTCTCATTAATGATGCAGCGAAGGTATGGAAGTTGAGACACATCGGATTCATCGATCAATCGATCTTGTCCAACACAATTGTCGATTTCAATTTGTGCCTTGTTTAAAATCTCTGGATTGTTGAGCAAATATGACATTGCCCACTCTATAGTTCCGGCTGAAGTGCCGGTCCCTGCTTGTAGTAGTACCTACATAATTAAACAGTGAATATAGTCATATTAATTTTCATTATGGAAATAATTCATACATAATTAAATCACAGAAGATAATTAAGTTTTGATTGGATGGTGAGATTCATGGTGGCTGGAGAAAACATAAATACAAGTCTCTTACCAGCAAAAGGCTTTTGATATTCTCATCAGTGTAGTACTCAGGTTCTGTATCATGAAGAGATAACATGATTTCAATCATGGTCCTCCTTCTTTCCATCTCACCATTAAAACAAGATTGATTATCAGACCGATGTTGATCTATCAAATCCTGCATAAACTTATCTCTCTTCTCAAATATTCTAATTAACTTCTTCTCCAACCCTTTATTAATCCCAAACCACTTCAAAAATGGCAAGAAATCTTCGACATTCCTATCTGCCGCCAAATTAGCCGTCTCTTTCACTATCTCTTGGAACCTCTTCACTCCCTCCGAGCTCTCCACACCCTCGCCGTAGTACCTCTTCCCCGCAATCATCCTCGTCATGACATTGAAGGTGAGCTGGAAGCTTACAGACTTCATATCCACCGCTTGATCTGGATTTGCGGATGAGACTTTATATATACGGTGGATCAGCGATCGGACCTCGTCGACGCGGATGTGAGAGAGCATCGGGAGGCGGTGGGAGGAGAGACGCTCGATGGAGGCGATGCGGCGGTGGTTTCGCCAGTGGTCGCCGTAGGGTGCCCATGCCACGGTGGTGTAGTTGTAGCCGAAGATTTTTCCGGCGAGTAGCCTAGGGCGGTTTGCGAAGACGATGTCGTTTCGTACAAAGCATTCTTCGGCGGCGGACGGGGAGGAGACGAGGAGGACACGGCGGGAGCCGAACCTGAGGAGAAGGAGCGGACCGTAGCGGTGGGAGAGCTTGGACAGGGTTTGGTGAATCGGTTTTTTTAAGAGGTGGAAGTGACCGAGTAAGGGTAGAGTTGGGAAAGGGCTTGGTGGGAGGTTTTGGAGCTTGCCAAGAATGTGATTGGCCAAGACATAGAAAGATAAAAACAGAGCAAGGTATATCAACAGAGTAGCTTCCATGATGTTCAGATGTTCTGGGATAAAAAGAGTAGTGCCATATATATGTATATATAGGGGGTGTTTGGCAAGAAAAAAAAAAAGTTTAGTTTAGGCTAAAATTTACAAAAAGATAAAATAGGTTAAAATACCTAATAAGACAAAATATCACAGTAAACCCATAATCATTTCATTTTTTCTCTCACAAATATCACATCAAACCACAAAAAAATCCAATCATCTTTCCAAACACAAAAATTTTAGCCTACTAAGGCACCGTTTGGGAAGAAGGTTTCCAGACTTTTTTGACTATTTTAGTCACAAAAAAAAAAGACTATTTTAGCCACAACAAACAAAACGTTACATCTAACCCATAATCATTACACTCTTCTCTCACAAAAAAAGTCAAAAAAGTCAAAAAGTCCTTCCCAAACCAAGCTTTTTAGCCCAAGCTAAAATAGTCAAAAAAGTCAAAAAGTCAAAGAGCCAATCCACTTCCCAAACGGAGGCTAAAATAGCCTACTAAAATAGCAACTTCCCAAACGAAGCCATAGGGTTGGTTTGGAGGGTGGATTGATTTTTTAATTTTTTGGTTATTTTAATTTGGGGTTAAAAAATTTCATTTGAAAAGAATTTTATGATTTTTTTAATTTTTTGTGAGAGAAATAATGTAATGATCATGGTTTGAATGTGATGTTTTGTCTTATTAGATTAAAAAATATATTTTGTTTTTTTGTGGTTAAAATAATCTCAAACCCAACCCAACTCTTCTTTCCAAACGAAGCTATATATCTATATAACAAAGCAGAATGATTTTTTGAATTTGTTCTACACACATTTGTCCTACTAGGACATTTGAACGGCTCAGATCTATTCAAATTATAAAACAACGGTTAAGATATATTTTTTAAAAAATATCCCACATGTATATTTTCTATTTTTCTGTTTCTCTCTCTTACTTTTTTCTTTTCTCATCCATCCTTCCATGATCTCATGATCCCACCTTCCTCTCTCTTTTCTTTTTATTTTTTATTTTCTTCCATTTTTATTTTTCTCGCTATTTGTTTTTTTTTTATTTTCTCATTTTCGTTCAATATATTTTACTTATATTTTCATATAATGTATGTATACTCGTAATACACTAGAACATTACGGACATACATACAATTTTCATATTATTATATAAGTAAAAGAAGTATTGTATATATGCCCGTGGAAATTACATGTATGCTAGGCACATCTATCTATCTAGCTAAATATTATATAAGCAAAAACGAGTTTTCGCAAGAAGTTTTGTAAGAACTTCAAAATTTTATAATAAATTCGTGATTTTATCAAATTAAAAATTAAATTTAAATAGTGTTGGGATTATAATTATATTCTGATCCTAATATTACTTATATCATGCATTTAGGCACGAGCATACGCTAGTATTTTAATAAAGCATGAAGAGTGTTGAATCTTCAACATATTTTTATCCTAGTAGGACATTTGGATGGCTCAGATCTGTTCAAATTATACAATAATGGCGAAGATATATTTTTCAAAAAATGTTCTACATATACATTTTCTACTTTTCTGCTTCTCTATCTCTTACTTTTTCCTTTTCTCACACCACTCCTTCCATGATCCCATAATTCCACCTTCCTCTCTTTTATTTTTATTTTTTTATTTTCTCCCGCTTTTATTTTTCTCCCTATTTGTTTATTTTTTTTCTTTTTGTTCAATATATTTTACACATATTTCCATACAATGTATATATGCCCGTAATACACTAGAACATTATGGGCATACGTACAATTTTCATATAATTATATAAGCAAAAGTAGTATTGTATGTATGCCTGTGGAAATTGTATGTATGCTAGGCACATCTATCTATCTAGCTATATATTATATAAGCAAAAGCGAGTTTTTGAAGCGGCTTGGCATGAGAATTTCAACACCATTGTTGCTAATAACTGGCCCAGGAAAAATAATAATCTTTTGGGAAAATTGGATTCCATGGCTTCTGTCTTGCAGGACTGGAACAAAAATACTTTCGGTAACATTTTTCGGTGTAAGCGCTGGTTGCTTGGCAGAATTAATGGGATCCAAATTTCCCAAGCCAAGAACTACTCTCATAATTTACATCAACTGGAAAATGAGCTTACTTTTGAGTATAATAGAGTTTTATATCAAGAAGAGTTATTTTGGTTTCAAAAATCTCGTGTTAACTGGATTACTCAGGGTGAGCGGGATACAAAATTTTTTCATTTGTCTACCCTTATCAAGAGAAGAAAAACAAAAATTGAAGTTTTGAAAAATGAGGAAGGGGTTTGGGTGGATAATCCCACGCAGTTAAAAAGTCTGGTTAATGCTTATTTTCAAAACCTTTTTGCCCATACTCACACTATTGAACTTGATCATTGGAGTAATTTGACCAAACATATCAGCCCTGAGGACCAATGTGAAATGAGCAGAAATGTGTCTACTGAAGACACTTGGAGGGCTGTCAAGAACATCAAAGCTTTTAAGGCACCAGGTAGGGATGGGTTCCAAGCCATATTTTACCATACCTTTTGGAAGATTGTGGGACAATCTGTCATCAATTTTGTCCAAACTTGTTTTTCTTCTTGTCGCATCCCTACTGAGATTAATAGAACTATTGTAGCCCTTATCCCGAAAGTGGCTAATCCTGAGAGTGTGAAACAATTCAGGCCTATTAGTTTGTGTAATGTCACTTACAAAATCATTTCAAAAATTCTTGTTAACAAAATTAGGCCTATCTTGAATGATATTATTAGTCCTAACCAGAGTAGTTTCATTCCGAGTCGGTTCACTCATGATAATATCTTAATCACCCAGGAAGCCATTCATACTCTGAATAAGAACAAGGGGAAGGTGGGTTTCATGGTTTTTAAAATTGATCTCGAAAAGGCGTATGATAACATTTCTTGGAATTTCCTTCACCAAATTTTGCAAGAATTCCACTTTGATCAAAATTTGGTGAATCTGATTATGAGTTGTGTCACTAGTGTGAACACAGTTATCTTGTGGAATGGTGAACCCCTTGAAGAGTTCAAACCAGCTAAGGGCTTAAGACAAGGGGATCCTCTATCCCCTTATCTATTTGTGTTATGTATGGAACGACTCTCAGCCATGATTAGCCAACAAGTGCAAGATAAACATTGGATTGGGCTTAGCTTGGCTAAGAATGGACCTAACATATCACATTTGTTTTTTACGGATGATCTGATTTTGTTTGCCAAAGCTAATGAGCATAATTGTAACACTATTTTGAAAGTCTTGAATGAGTTTAGTGAAATCTCGGGATTGAAGATTAACCTTCATAAATCACATTTGTTTGTGTCTCCCAACATTGCCAGAAGAAAAGTAGCCCAGTTCAGTAATATGTTGTAGACACCCCATTTTTGACCGACCTTAAGACTTAGACGTCACCAGTTGAGCGCTCGGTGATGCTACATATTATGCGAGTTCAGAAGTTTCAGAGTCACGACCGTGCGCCCTGCCTCCGGACTTCCGAACCCTCTTCTGTGCCTTGCCTCGATTTGCGTATCAGACTCGATTTTCTCTGTTTCTTTTCCTGAGGGGAGGGAGAGGTCCTGTAGACCATCTCTCAGTGGCCGTAGGCCATTTTGGCCATTTCGGAGCCCGGTTTTCGGTTTTTCGGGACCGTCAGGCCGTGTGCCTCGGTTCGGGACCGCTCAACCGTCTCTGTTTGCTCTGAATTCTGGCATGCATCTTATTTACTCCCTTTTGAGGGACACTGGGGTCTGAGAAACCCACTTCGTGGCCGAACGCCACTTTCGGTGTTTAACGGGCAGTTTTTGAGACCCCGAACTGCGTGTTTTGGCCCCCGAACATTCGTTTTGCATTGGTTTTCGTTCATTTTTGGCAGGTACCTCTGTTTCATCACTAGGAAGGTCACTGGAGGGTGGGAGGCCAGAAATTATCTTGGCAACCAGTTATATTCCATTTTCGCCCTCCGACACCCGTTTTTCGCACTTCCGAGCCAATGTTGAACACCTTGGAGCCACTTTCTTCACCCCCAAACCACATATTTGTGATGTACACACATGGGAGGACCCTAAAAGTTCATGGCCGGCCACTAATTCCATTTGACCCTTTTGAACCCCTCCTTCCAGGCCAATGTTGAACAACCTGGGCCATTTTTCTTGAACTTTTAACCACATATTTGTGTTGTACACACATGGGAGGACCCTAAAAGTTGGTGGCCGGCCATTAATTCCATTTGACCCTTTTGAACCCCTTTTGAAAATGGCTTGTTCTCTCTCCTGTTTCAGAGTTTCCAAATTCGAACCACAGGGTTATGAAGAGGAGACCTGGGAGGCCACCTTTTTGTGGTGGCCGGCCACTAATTGAACTTGACCCTTTTGACCCCTAGCTGGCCGGCTAGGGGGGGTGGCCGGCCGGCCACCTGCAGAAAAAGTAAGGGGCCGGCCATGTTCCTCATGATTGGTACTTTACAGCTGTGCAGCTGTTTCCCCCAGAAAATATCCCAATTCGGGGGATATTTTGTGGGGGAAAGCTTGCCTCCTTTTCCTCCACCTTTACACCCTCCTTTTGGTCCTTATAACCAGCTGCCATTGTTTGTTTTGAGGGTTAGAAAATTTGTTCTTCAAGCCTCAAGATCCATATCTCCCTCCATCCTTCTCATTTTCCTAAAAAACTTTAAGTCCTATGCCTTGTGTTCTTCATCACCACCAAGCTCTACCATCACTACTTCATTTCCAGCAACAAGGAGAGCTTGTCAAAGGCTAAAGGAGCTGCAAATTGGTTCAAGAAGCAACAAAAGCTTTGGTCTTCAAGGGTAAGTGACATTTCTCCTCTTTTGACCCTATTTCTTGATCCATTTGTAAGCCCTATATGATTTTTGTTTCAAGCTCCAGACCTAACTCGAAGTGGCCCTCTTTTGAGCTCATTTTCACTTTTCATTAAGGACTCAACCCTGTTTGAGCCCTCCATGATTCACTTGCTTCATTAATCCTCTTATATGTCATAATCTTGCATGCTATTTTTGGCCCATGATTAATCTGTTTTTG